AAAAACCCAATTTTTAAGAATTGATATATCTATTTGTGAATGATATCAAAATAATTTTTATTTTATAAAATAAATTTTCTCGACACGTCTCTTTTATTTATAGAAAAGGACCGATGTCAAAAAAAATTAAATACCAAATATGGATTATGTCCATTATTATTTATTTGGTAAATTAGACGTAACTCTCCTTTTTAGGGATAAACGTCGATATTTTAGACAAAGTCTCCTAATTTTAGGGACTGATGTCATTTTTAACGCGTCTCCTATTTTTAGGGACCGACGTTAACCATGTTAAAAATTTTACAAATATGCTCAAAAATATAATAGCATTTGAATCAAAAATAAGAAAAACACACAAGTAAAGGTAACCTTTCTCTGAAAGGATGTTTTAAGGGTGGTGTCTACCTTCCCTTAATCATAACTAACCCAGTACCCGAATCTCTGGGACCAGTGTCTAATTTTGGATTTCTAGTTCCCTCAAATTACTAGATGGCGACTCCAATAAAATCTTTATTTCCCCCAATCAAATAACAAAATTAAATTCCTTTTGTTTTAAAAACAAAACAAACAAAAAAAGGAGTGGAGCCGTCGCCCGACGTCGTGCAGCGACACCAACCAAAATATTTAAGTTATTATATATACTTCTAATTTTTTTTTTTATATTATTCTATAATGCTATTGAACTTTGCTAATCATGAAAACAGCTTACATCAGATCCACCCATGATATCAGAGGCATAGCTTGACAGTTTATAAATTCTAGAAAGTTACACCCTCGTGAAGATTTCCTGAGTCAGCGAGTCAATGTAAGACATGCAAGGTGTTATAACCCCTTTTTTACCTTCAATTTCTCTATGTGTTTTCAAAATTATATTTTTAGAAAAATTTAATGTTTTTATATTTAATTTAATTGTGTTGTTAATGAAAAAAGAAAGAAAAAGGAGTTTATCGTTTGAAAGTAGAGGAAAGAAAGAAAAAGAGACTACTGTGATCAGGGACTAAAAATAATGGATTGTAACACAATATTATGAAATGTTTTTTTTTTTTCATTGTAAAATATAGAGATGAGATATGGATTCTTGTAATTTTATATTTAGTAGGACTTGTTTGTATGACCCAATTTTGCAGCTAGCACATGGTTAGAGATAATTTGTATACGTTTGGAAAATATCGTGTGAATTTTATTCTTGTACCTTTAAAAGGTAAACCCTAACCCAAAGGTTAGAAAGCAAAGGGAAATGATTTCCCTAATGTAACCAATTTAGAGCGTGAGAAGTAAGCAGGCAAGTGAAAAACTAGACAGAATCAGGCATTAATTGTGAAGGAGTAGTGGTTGAGAAGGAAGAAAAATAAATGATAGATATTTCTAAGGCATGCACTCAAGCATTTACTTGCTGAATTGAGGAGAAGGTAGAATAGCTACAGAGAGAAATGGTAGATTTAATACCACTCTTACAAAACCCAAATTGGGCAACTTGAGTAACCTAGTTAGGAACCAGGCTAACCTGCTGTGACGGGGTGAAATCCAATCATTGATTTTTTTAAATAATTTTTTTTAAAATAATTTTTTTATTTATTTTACAAAAATAAATTAAAATTAACATGAATTAACTCATATGGGTTAACTCTCATTACTCATGTCTTACTCTAGATTGACCGTCGACTTGAGCTTAATAGCCATGAGTAAAAATACCGACATGCTCACTAGCCATTTGCAAAGACAACATTAAGAAAAATATCATGATTATTGAGCAATGAAACAATATTAAATATTATCTCGCTAGGTATGTTTATTGATGGGTCAGATAAGTTTTTGGATAAATTAAATCTTCTTTTACCTCTCTCTATGTGAATTTTTATTTTTGATGTAAACATAATCATATTAAATATAAAGAAACTCCCGCGGTGTTACACCTCGAGAGCTGCTTTCTTGCGCTAAAGCCAGTTAAAAAGTTACATCATGAATCTTTGGATAAGTCAAATTTGGAACGATGACCCACAATATGCATAGTTCTTCCAATTAATAGGCAGTCCTATGATTTGGAAAGGTAGAACAAAGATTATTTAGAAATTTCAGAATGAAAGATTCCTCTACCTTGCAATTCCAATTAATTGAGAAAGCCCGAGCGCGATTAATCAAGCAGTCTCTCACATTATTTCTTCACCAATTCAATTAAAGGAGAGAAAACTGATCCAAAAGATTTTAAAAAACAAAATATTTTTTTCTTAGTTTTTTTTATTTTTTTTTTATTTAGTTTAGAAATGAGCTACGGATTTTGAACAAATAAGCCAAGAATTAAGCATCTTTAGAAATTATAGGACTTGGAAATGAATTTTCCTAAGATTTACCAAATCTTCCACCCAATAAAAACTGATGCACTGTTGTTGACGTTTATATGTCAAATTCTGTAAAATAAGAACAAAGATGAATAGGAAATTTCACAATTAAAAATTCCAATAATTATTCCATTTCTTTTTTTCTATAAATACCTATCATTGGAGCCTAGGATCTTCATCTTCCATAGCAAACCATATCCCTTAGACATGATGTCCTTCCTACAGAAACCATTCTCAATGTTTCTCCAACTCCTCTTTTTTCTCCTTCTAACATGCATTCCTTCTTTCTTTGCCTACCATCCTAATTCATCTGGTGCTGCCAAATATGGAATTCTGACGGTAATAAAGAAGCGGAGGCTCTCCTAAAATGGAAAGCAAGTCTTGATGACAACCACAGCCAATCTGTCCTGTCTTCTTGGGTTGGTAGCAGCCCTTGCAGGTGGCTTGGAATCACTTGTGACAATTCTGGAAGTGTCGCGAATTTCAGCCTTCCACATTTTGGTCTGAGAGGTAAGCTTCATAGTTTCAACTTCTCATCCTTCCCCAATCTTGTCACTCTCATTCTCTGGAACAATTCACTCTATGGAACTATTCCATCCCACATTAGTAACCTGACCAAAATCACCAATTTAGACTTGTGTGATAATCATTTCGCAGGGAATATTCCACTTGAGATAGGATTCTTAACAAGTCTTAACTTTTTATACCTTTGTGGAAATGATCTCACTGGCTTGATCCCAGCCTCTATTGGAACTTTAAAACACCTATCTGTTCTCTATTTATGGGGTAACAAACTCTCTGGTAGGATCCCTTCTTCTATTGAAAATCTGAGAAACTTATCATTTCTCTCTTTTTGGAATAACAAACTATCTGGTTCCATTCCTTCTTCTATTGGGAACATGACTAAGCTCATTGACTTGCGTCTAAGTGAAAATAATCTCAACGGTTTGATCCCAACCTCTATTGGAACTTTAAAACACCTCTCCGTTCTCTATCTCTGGGGTAACAAGCTCTCTGGCTTGATACCTTCAGAGATTGGATCACTACAGTCTCTCAGTTCCCTTGACTTGGCAATCAATGATTTAACTGGTAGGATCCCTCCTTCTATCGGAAATATGAGAAACTTGTCAATTCTCTTGCTCTGGGATAACAAACTTTCTGGTTCTATTCCTTCTTCTATAGGGAACATGACTAAGCTCATTGATTTGCGTCTTCAACAAAATAATCTCACCGGTTTGATCCCAACCTCGATTGGAACTTTGAAACACCTATCCGTTCTCTCTCTATGGGGTAACAAACTCTCTGGCTTGATACCTCCAGAGATTGGATCACTACAGTCTCTCAGTTCCCTTGACTTGTCAAGCAATGATTTAACTGGTAGGATCCCTTCTTCTATTGAAAATCTGAAAAACTTATCATTTCTCTTTTTCGAGCATAACAAACTTTCTGGTTCTATTCCTTCTTCTATCGGAAACATGACTAAGCTCACTCGACTTCGTCTGAACATGAATAATTTATCTGGATCTGTTCCTTGGGAAATAGGACAACTCGAATCCCTTGTTGAATTGAGTTTGCACACTAATAATCTCAATGGTGCTCTACCCCACGAGATGAACAATCTCACACATTTGATGATTTTGCACTTGCTTTCAAACAATTTCACTGGCCATTTACCACGAGACTTGTGCCTTGGTGGGTTGCTTGTAAATTTTTCAGCCGGCTACAATCATTTTTCTGGTCCAATCCCTAAAAGCTTGCAAAATTGTACTCGTCTGTTTAGAGTTAGGCTTGAATGGAACCAATTGACGGGTAATATTTCTGAAGATTTTGGCCTCTACCCAAACTTGAACTATGTGGACCTAAGTCACAATGATTTCTATGGTGAGCTTACTTGGAAATGGGGAGGTTTTCACAACTTGGCGAGCCTAAAATTGTCAAACAATAATATCACCGGTGAGATACCATCAGAGGTTGGAAAGGCGACTGGGCTAAAAATGATTGATCTCTCATCAAATCTCCTAAAGGGGACAATTCCAAAAGGTCTCTGTGGAAATGCCAGTGGTCTAAAGCCTTGTACACTTCTTACAAGCAGGAGAAAGAGAAACAAGATTGTCATTTTGATTCCTTTTCCTCTCCAGGGCAGTCTACTTCTACTACTTACCATGGTTGGGTGTTTATACTTTCCCTACCGAACAAGTAGAGAAAGAATTTCCTGTTTAGTAAAGCGACAAAGTCCACTCGGTTTTGCAGTGTGGAGCTTTGAGGAAGAGATCCTACATGAAACTATCATCCAGGCCACTAATAATTTCAACTCCAATAATTATATAGGGAAAGGGGGATACGGAATTGTTTATCGAGCCATGCTGCCAACAGGTCAGGTGGTTGCCGTGAAGAAACTTCACCCATCAAGAGAGGGCGAGCTTATGGATTTGAGAACTTTTAGAAATGAGGTTGGCATGTTAATAGATATTCGACATCGGAATATTGTGAAGTTATATGGATTTTGTTCATTAACAGAGCACTCTTTTTTAGTTTACGAGTTCATAGAAAGGGGAAGTTTGAAGATGAATTTATCTAGCGAAGAACAGGCAATGGACTTGGATTGGAATAGAAGGCTTAATGTTGTTAAAGGAGTGGCCAATGCATTATCCTATTTGCACCATGATTGCTCGCCTCCAATCATTCATCGAGACATTTCCAGCAGCAATGTTCTTTTAGATTTGGAATACGAGGCTCATGTTTCGGATTTTGGGACAGCTCGGCTCTTGATGCCTGACTCAACCAACTGGACTTCATTTGCTGGCACCTTCGGATACACAGCTCCAGGTTCATACTTGATTTCATTCTTAACATACATACATATACATATAAATATACATATGCATATGCATGCATACATACATACACATACATCAATTGCTAAATTTCTGTTTATATGTCAAAATGTTTTGGAGGCTCTCCAAAACATGTCAAGTAGAGAAAGAATCTCCTTTTTAGGAGAGCGACAAAGGCCACTCTGTTTTGCAGTATGGGGCTATGAGGAGGAGATCCTACATGAAACTATCATCCAGGCCACTAATAATTTCAACTCCAATAATTATATAGGGAAAGGGGGATACGGAATTGTTTATCGAGCAATGTTGCCAACAGGTCAGGTCGTTGCCGTGAAGAAACTTGACCCATCAAGAGAGGGCGAACTTACGGATTTGAAAACTTTTAGAAATGAGATTCCCATGTTAATAGATATTCTACATCGAAATATTGTGAAGTTATATGGATTTTGTTCATTAATTGAGCACTCTTTTTTAGTTTACGAGTTCATAGAAAGGGGAAGTTTGAAGATGAATTTATCTAGCGAAGAACAGGCAACGGACTTGGATTGGAATAGAAGGCTTAATGTTGTTAAAGGAGTGGCCAATGCATTATCCTATTTGCACCATGATTGCTCTCCTCCAATCATTCATCGAGACATTTCCAGCAGCAATGCTCTTTTAGATTTGGAATACGAGGCTCATGTTTCGGATTTTGGGAGAGCTCGGCTCTTGATGCCTGACTCAACCAACTGAACCTCATTTGTCGGCACCTTCGGATACACAGCTCCAGGAACATACTTGATTTCATTCTTAACATATATATATATATATGTGTGTGAATCAATTGCAAAATTTCTGCTCATATGTCATAGATTCATAATGTTTTGGAGGCTCTCTAAATCATTATGACATATTAGCAGAACAATACAACCAGTCCTATGAAAAAAAATGACCAGAATCTTTGCAGAACTAGCTTACACAATGAGAGTGAACGAGAAGTGCGATGTGACATAAAACTATTTTATTTTCTCCACCAAAAATAAAATAAAATACACTGAATGATTAGTCTACATGAATCTTAGATTTAACCTATTTTTTATTATAATTATTATTATTCTTTTAATAATATGGATGTACAGACCAGCCTGCCTATAACCCTTCAAAGTTTGCTGTCCTGTCTCCTTCACGACACCAAAAACAATCTCCGCGGCCACTACCAACGCCCGAAACATCCGTCTCCTCCACCGCCCCCACAACCCCACCTCCTCTACCACCATGGAGCGAAGAAATAGAAAGCATCTTGGACAATTCGCTCAGAGAAATGCCAATAATTGGTGCAAAAGATTCTAATCCTATACAACAAGAGGAAAGTGCAAATACAAGAGCGTTCGCGCTCTGCTGTCTGGTGAAGAACAGAAAATTGGACCCTATCGAGATTATTGATAGATTTGGGCATGAGTTGGTGGTGTTAAAAGGGAGTAAAAGAGAGTGGAATTTGAGTAAGAAAGCGAGATAGGATCCGGTGTCGGTGATCATTTGCTTACGCCGGCCGGGGATGCGCATGGAGTGAAGTATTTTGAGGATTTATTCTAAGTTTTTTTTATCAAGTGGGAAGGGAAATGGGATATCTTCTTTGATTAAGGTTGCCAAGAGTGAATGTTAGAACCAAATTTTTAGTATAAATCCAAGTCAGTACAAATACGATCTAAGTTAATTTAGATATTTAAAAAAAATTATAAGAATTTTTTTTTTTAATTCATCTAGCTGCTTTGACCCTTCCCTCCTCAAACCAAAAAATTTAACCTTTTATCTTAAATTTTTAATTCAAAAAAGATAAGAATAACAAATAAATAATTCTATTTCATATTATTTTCGATTATAATTTATTTATAGAATAATTAAAAAAAATTATGATTTTTAAGGATTAGATATTCATATTGTTAAGATTAATTTATGATTATTAAAGGTTTAATGTTAAATAATTAATTATTATATTATTGAAAATAAAGATTTATGAGTTGATTAATTTAAATTATTTTTTATGGGTTAAAAAATTTATTTTTATCTTGTAATAAAATCTAGATAGAATGGTTTTAGGGTTGAAGATGACCAAATTTTATTTTGGTCCTTGATTTATAAAAATTACAATTTAGGCCCTAAACTTTAGAAAAATTATAATTTAACCCTTAAAAGTATTTTGAGATTCTGGAAAGTGTAATTATGAGATTAAGGATGATTAATCTTAGTTTGATAATTGATTTGGAATATTTTCAGTTTGGTCCCTCAATTTTAGGAATTTACACTTTAGTCCCTATACTTTATGAAAAGTACAATTTGGTCCCTGTGTATATGCAAGTCTTAACTGATCTTCTATTAGATGAAACCAGAGTTCAGCACCTACCCTCTTCCACTGGATTTTTGAAGAAGCTCAAAAAGTTATTGGTGCGTGGACGCCGCTGGATCACCTATTTTGGTACCGACTCAGCAGAGCTTGTCATCAAGCAACAACCTTTCCTCCCACCCACCTTCTTTGGTTTAAGCTCATTGACAACACTCGATATTAGTGATAGCCATTTATCTAACAATGATACTTCCATCAATCTTGGGAGTTTATCCTCTCTCCAGGATTTGAATTTGGCAGGAAATGATTTCTCCGAGTTGCCTGCCGGCATTGGCCACCTTGCAAAGCTAGAGAAACTGGACCTGTCATGGTGTCGAAATCTTCTGTTTATCTCAGAGGTCCCCTCGAGTTTAAGAGCTTTGGTGGCACGTGATTGCACATCATTGGAAAAGGTGTCAATTCAGTCAGAAACAGCGCCGGATCTGTTACTGGGTGGCTGTGGAAAACTAGCTGAGATTCAAGGCTTGGAGAGTGTAGAAAACAAACCAGTCATTCGCATGGAAAACTGTAACAATTTGTCAAACAATTTTAAGGAGATTCTTCTTCAGGTTTTGTCCAAGCGAAAGCTTGCTGACGTTGTTCTCCCGGGTAGCGATGTACCGCATTGGTTTATGCAATATCAAAGAGATGTATCTTCCTCAACATTTCGTATACCACCCATTTCATCTGGTTTAATTCCAGGACTAATTGTCTGGACTGTCTATGGAGCCATGGAAGAAGGCGGATGGACGAGGTGTTCTCTCTGTTCTGCTTCTATCAGAAAAAAAGAAAGATGATGATGAATTGTTTTATACACGACCATACTTGGACATTTCTTCAGAGCATGAAGGTGAAGATGCAGATCATTCTTGGGTGATCTATATCCCATTTACCAGGATTCAAGGTGCAATAGAAGGTAGAGACGAATTGGAAGTGTCTGTCCAAGCCAGGCGATGATACTATTGTAAGGAAGTGTGGTGTGCATCCATTTTTTTTATCAAGCAAGTTATAATCGACACCGGACGCATATCAAATGATTTTTATTGTATAATTTTCTTAAGGAATTAGTTGTATTATAACTTTCAATATGAATTTCAGAGATTCAGATTCAGATCTTAGACTACTATTCATAGTGTTTTCTAGCTTATTTTTAGAACAATTCAAAATTATTGGCATTTAGAATTTATCAAAAGTAGAGGTTTTTTTTTAACTATAATTTTAAAGTTTAAGAAATCTTCGTTTCTTCCTTTTTTATATACTTTGTTTATCAATTGTATTGCACCCAATATTGTGATGATCTTAAAATTTTTTTAATTAAAAAAAAAAAAAACAAATTTCTGGTATCTTGTTTTTTAATATGTAAATGTTTTGTTTAAAAAGTTGTCATCTAATATTATGATCATTAGAAACTCTAACCAGCTAATAGAAATTTTATTATACGTAACTAATAATATATATAAAAAGATATTATTATTTTTTAAATATCTTGCCTGAGACAGACTGCATTACTACATTACTTGTTTTTTCTTAAATTGGTAAAATTTTATTGGTTTATTCTATGATGTTTTACTTGTAATATTCATGACTCTAGCATTAGTGAATGTTCAACTATGAATATTTTCAATTTTGGTATTAGTAAATATTATGTAGCAAAAAAAAAACATATTGTATTTCTGACTCTGACATCAATAAATAAACCAATAAATGATTTTAAAATCAATGAATGCATACATACATATATATATATATATATATATGCATGCATTTTCATTGATTTTAAAATCATTTTATAAATTAGTTATGCACTAAAATACCTATAAAAAAAATATGATAGACCCACAAATACATTTAAAAGGATCCATGAATTATTTTGGAATTTTTTGATATCCAGAAAAGCCTATTTAACAAGATATCAAAACATAAATAGATAAAAATAAAAGAATAAGCGTTTTTTTTGCCAAAAATCCTCTGAGCTCAAAATAAATAGGGTCGGCTGGTCCTGGGGCCAGCCTGACCCAATCTCAATTAGTTTTTGTTGTTTTAGATTGGGTTTGATCTAGATAGGCCGATTTAGTTATTGATCCAAGCCAATAATCCGGCTAGACAAACAAGAGGTACATATAAACTAATTTCATGCGTGCATGAAACAATGCGAAGGTAAATTGCCTTCGCACGGTGTTCAAATAATGTTTGCAAAGAATGAAAGGAAAATGGGTGTACCTGGTTCTGGAAACGTCGAATACAGTAGCAACGCTGGTTCTGATCTCGGTGATTTTCGTCTGCTTATGGTACAAGTGATATTTATATGGACCCGACCAGAATAGAATCCTACTTAGACAGGGGTCGTTACGTAAGGAGAACAAGGAATGTAACAGTGAAAAAGTGTGGGCAATAGAAATGGCCACTCATCATGCATTCATCATAATTTTCTATATATCTCCCCTGTTACAACTGTGACATATATATATATAGCATTCCTTCCATAGTGTTCCTAACTAACTAATCCTTTATTCTAGCATGAGAGCACACGCAAGTCGTGTGCTTGCAATTTATTATTGCAACAGTGCCAATTATTGAAACGGGGCGTTTTAACAACGGCTATAACAATTCGAATAGTTCGTGCATGTAACAGCTTATGTTCTTTCGTTCTGCTTGTCTCTGTCTTCCTTTTGTGCGCACTGTTTTCTCTGGTTCTCTCTTCCTCTCCTGTTCGTTCGTCTCCTCTTTGCTTCTGGTTTTTTAGAGATGAAGGAGCGAAAATGGTGGTGCCGGTTCTCATTGGTGGTCTTTGATTCTGGATCGTTCTTCTTTTTCTGCCTTTTGTTTTTGTTTTCTTGCTTTCTTCCTTTTTTGTTCGTTCTCGGCTTCTCCGTTGTTCCTGGTTTTTTCGTCTCTGTCTTTCTCTCTGTGTGTTTTGTTAGCCCGTCTGTCCCAGTTCCTTTTTTTTATTTGAGGCTAGAAGGTCGTCTGTTCATGCCTCCAGAAATGAGGCACGTCGTTCCGTGAGGGATCGTGGTCCATGATCACGCAGGATTTACCAAAACAATTTTTTTTTACCGTTTAGTGTTAGTTTTAGAGATTGATTTCTTTCTATTCATTATACACTGCTTCGGTAATGCATGTTTGAGCATGCACAATTCGTAATGACCCCTAAATTAATTATACACCGTGAATTGAATATTTTTGAAGGAAGGAAAAAGAAAAAGAAGAAGAAGAAGAATGTTCTTATGTGAGAAGATGGAAGGCCCTGCATTTTCACCTTCATATGAAATATTTTAATTGTGGTATTAATGTTGAATCTTCAAGCAATCGGATGAGTTTACATTTAAAATTGATGACTGATTTTTAAGAAGCTCATTGCAGAAGGCTTTTTCAAGAATGCAAATCCTTAACTTCGAAATTTAGCCACCCCCAACAAAAAAAAAAATAAAAAAATCAAGGCCACAGCGGGGGAATGTTCCGTGGTGGCGGTTGCCATAGCCACCATGAAGGTCCAAATCAGAACACTGAATTAAAAAAATTTTAGTCATGGGATGAATTCAAATCAAACAATAATTAGTAGCGATTATTAAGATTTTTAATACATGCATAAATTGGGGATTCTTAATCCCACCACAATTTCATAACAAAAATGTAGTTAAAGCCAAAAAAATAAAAAATTATACCCTACCACTATTAATAAATCACAATTTGCCATGCCTCTTGCTCAATTTCCCCAAAAATCTCCTTCTTCCTTCTAGCTTGACACTTTCTCTCCTCAACCCTAACTTCTAACCTCTCTCTCACGCCAAGATTCTTAACCTAGTTGATCTTCTTGTTAAAACCTTCCTCATCCACCTTTAATGCCTTGGATTTGAGAGAAACAAAGAATTTTAGGAGGAAATAAGAAAAATCCACTCTCCCCTCCTGTCACGTTGCTGTCGGCCTTCTTAGAGAGGAGAGAGGGGTTGCTTTTCCTTTTTATTACATAAATACCCCTATCTCGCATATTTAAGTCTTAATCCTGGCAAATCACCATTTACTGGGGTGTGTGTGTATTATCAATCTCTGTTACTAATTACTGGTCCAAGATTCCATATTATAGAAATTGTAGATTTTCATCTTTTAATTTAAATTTGATATAAATTCATTATCCTTTGATTTTAAATCACGTCATTAAACTCATGGATTTACATTTTCAAGTCAGGGTTTACATAAACTTTGCCATCTTATTCAATTTGGTCTTTCATCTTCTAATTTCTTCAATTACTCTTAATAGTTTCTTAGAAATCATTTTTGCCATAATTGTTCCTGCTCGGGTTTAGTTCTTGCTACCAAAGACTTGTTTATTTGACCAATTTGCCCTAAATCCATTTTTAATTTTTTTTTGCATTTTAAAAAATATTTAAAATCTATTAAATTTTGTCTGGACTTTTGGATGGAGTAAAATTGAGTTATATCAGTTTTCCTCTTTTTACCATGTTTATAACACAAAACGATATGAAAATACCAAGAGCTATTAAACAATGTACAATCTTCTAGTCTGGAAACTGAGGTTCATAGAGGACATCAAGCTGAAATTAATTATTTATGATAAATTTATGATAAATTAATTGTTTACTAACGGACATAATAGCAATCAAATTCATGACCAGGTATTTATGATAAATTTATGGCCTATATAAATTGGCGAATAAAGACATGCAACAAATTTCTGATATTCCGTCGACTAGACTAAAGAAAAAACAAAGAGAACATGACTTATTACGGTGCATAGTCTAAGAAGCCTCGTCTACTCGGTACCTTGTAATTAACCACTCCGAAGGCTCTATGTAACTTCATGCTTCACCGGTTTCTGTATTATTTTATTCCAACTTGAGTTTTAACTATTGCTACATTGCATTGACTAATTGGTGTAGATGTTAAATTACCAAATAATTATCATATGCTACGAAAAATCCCTTATTATCTGTCCTGTAAATGATTAGAAACAAGTGCGTTGACTGTTAGACTCTCGGACGGGACGACAGATCTCTCTCCAAGAGAGAAACAACGAGTCTTGAGTCTCAGTTCTGTTCTTCTGGACTTGGATTGCTGAACTGTGCCTTTCTATGGCTTCCATGCCCTTTGAGTCTCAGTCTTCTTCTCCGCCGTCTTCTTCTAGACATGGATGGACCCATGATGTGTTTATCAGTTTCAGAGGACCAGATACTCGCAACGAGTTTACAAATCACATTTACACTGCCTTACGTCTCGCAGGGTTCTATGTCTTTCAGGAAGATAACGATCTTACTCTAGATCAAAAAGAATTCTCCCAATTCATTAAGGCAATTCAAGAATCAAGGATTTCTATAGTCATCTTCTCCAAAGGCTATGCTTCCTCCAGGTGGTGTCTTGAAGAACTCGTCGAGATTCTTCAGTGCAAACGTACCTCTGGACATGTTGTTCTTCCAGTTTTCTATAACTTAGATTCTTCAGATGTTTAAGAACAGAAAGGTGTTTTCTCCGATGCTTTTAACAGACACGAAGAAATATTTAAGGACAAATTGGAGACGGTGAAAAGGTGGAGAGAAGCTTTTGAGGAAGCTGGAAAACTACCTGGATGGCATCTCAAGGATATGGAAAATGGGTACATATCCTTGACTTTTTTTATATTCGACTTTGATACATATTTTGCATTATGTTATTAGCAAATCAGAGAACTGCTATCTCTCCGTTCGTACTTCGTACAAAACCATCAAACTTGAAATTAAGATGCACGATAATTTCAGGAAATTAAATATTGTTTTTATATTTTTATTTAGTTTAAAAATCCATATATTAACTCTATATTTATTTGTTAGAATGTTTTTTCCTAATTACAGTTTAAACATAGGACAAGTATAAATTAATAAACTTTTTCAACGAACTATATAGATAAATAAAATTATGTATTTTTATGTCTCACTATAATTATAAATTAATTTATTTAGTATTTGAGTGTTTTAAAATATAACAAACTCACGAATTTTTAAAGATTTTAATTTATAACAAACCTAATGGTTGCGCATGCTATTAAATTTTAATTAGAACATAAAATAAGAAATGACAATGTGAGAGTTGGCGGGAAGGGGGCATTTTCACCCTGGCCCTGAGAGTTGTATAAGAAAATTCTACATTTTCTTCATTAAGGATCGATTCTCTAAGTCACTTTTTGTTGTCATGCTGACAACCAATAAAACTATAGCAAATAATACACATGCTAATTTTTTTATAAAAAAAAAAGCCTCATCGAATCTATCTAATATATACAATTGAGAACAAGCCATCCATTATACATCTTATTTTTTTATATATAATCCAAATTTAATTAAAAAATTTAACACACACACACACACTAAAATATTCTATAATATTACCAATGCCATCAAAACAAATTTCCATAAATCATTCACAGTGTATTTTCTTAATCTTAATTCATAATTCTTAATGACATCCTATTTATGATGAGAATTATCAGATCATTCCAACGGCTACTATTGTCTCTTTTCGTCCAAACATCTATTCAAATATTATCTCTTTTATTTATTGAGTATCATTAACTACCTATTATAGCAAGGTTTATAATCAATAACCGACTAGAATTTAAGAAAATATCTTTTTTTTATTTGATTAAGTATATTTTAGAATAAGTTTGTATATCAACAAAAACTAAGTTATTTCTTAAATAATTTAAAAAACAATCTTCCGTACAGAGAAATTTAATAAATCCATTTATATAATAAAAAAAAACTTAACACAATATCATCATTCATTCTCTTTATTTCTATCATTCATTTTTTTCTTTAATTTTATAACATATTATACTATCTAATGTTCTGAATAATTACAAAACCTAATATTTAGAATCATTATTTTGATTCTAATTATTAACCCTTAAAAGCATCCTAATTATATATTCTTTTTCTCAGTTCTTCCAGCAGTTAAACAAAATAGCTGAGTTAAAATAATAATTTAATTTAACAATATAATTATTTTATATATTAAAAATCGTACATCCTTATTCATGATGTCAGGAAAAACTTTTATTTTCTTGACTGTACACTAGGTTTTGGAGGGTTTTTTTTTTTAATAGGCTTGGAACTTATAAACTTGTTTTATAAGAGTTCATAAGTGATTATCTCAGGCAAAATAACTTAAAGATTTTCTTGTAAAATTTTGAGTTTAATACAACGATCACCTCATATTATTGTCATTTTAAATTATTATTTTAGGCTAATCGTTACCAAGTTTTATCTTAGTTGTGGTTCATAAAAATATCTAGTAGATCATTTATATAATTTTTTTAAAGGTACATCTCTATATAATGAATTAAAACTCTCAATCTTTGTAAACCAGACTAAATCACCATTTTTGGGTTTGTTTATGGCAACCTTCTCCCTTCCCTCTTTATTCTTTCTTTTGTTCCCCACTCCCCATCTTTTGTAACCCATCTTCCCACCTTTGGCTGGGCTACCACCACCCTCATTTAGGCTAGGTGTAGGATTTGGTCAGGCCAACCTCCTCCCTTCTCTCCATTTTCATCTTTAGGGCTCTATTGGGCCCTAGGAATTGGTTCGACCTAGAGCTTTCAAGTAAATAATATTGTTCAACCGTATATATTTATTATTTTTAGTTTTTATAATAATTAAAAAAGTTTGAATCTAAAAATTTATCTTAAAAAAAAAAACATACTTAGGGCTTGCGTTTTATCATGTAGAAAAAAAAATCATCCTTACTTTAATTTATTAGAACTTAGTAATTGCTTGATTTTTTAAAATGATTGAGATTATAAATGTGGTATGCACACACAAGCAAATATTATAATTAAAACATGATTTAATGCCAACATAATCTGTAAAGCTTTCAAAAACATTGTATTTTGTTAAAGAATTATATAAATTATATCTTGAGATTCTAACTTAAATTATTAGTTTAAAATGATTATTTGACATAGTATTAAAATCTTATTAATCAAGTAGTTATGAGTTTGAATTTTTTCATTTTATTTTATTTGATAAAAATTAAATACAAGGTAGTATAAGTCTATGTAAATTTCAAATTTAAAAAACTTTCATTTGAAAAAATATTAAAAAATTATATAAATTATATTTTAAAACTTCACTTAATTGTTTATGCTATTGAATTAAGATAATTAAGCAAATATTATTAATTATTAATCAATGGTTACTAACACAACTTGTAGACCTTTCAAAGACATTAGTAAATAATATAGATAGATCAATAAAGATATTTTTTTTTGTAGCTTGCATGCTCTGTTATTTTGTTACTGTTGACTTTCTTTCACTCTGAACAGTCCTGATTCGGGGTTTGTGCAAGAGGTTGTCGAAGAGGTGAAGAAATACCTAAAGGCAGCCTCCACATATTAGAAAATATTGTTTGATGAACCGATATTCATTAGAGTAAAAAGATGATCAGAATGTCATTAAATACCAACTTGGCCACATAAATATGGTTAGAAGATGAAAATTCATACAGAAGTTTATTTATTTTTTATTGGAAAAAGTTGCCTTGTTTATTAATATAATTAAATGGTGCAGACAGAAGAACTGCTGGATGGTGGAGACAATTCATCTATTGTAAGACTATTCATACATAATTTTATTTTTGGAAAAAAATTGTATTGTTTATTAATAATTAATAAAATATGGTGCAGACAAAAGAGCTGCTGGATGATGGAAACACTTCATCTATTGTAAGAGTAAGTGGATCAAATTAATATATCTTATTCAATAAATTCAACTACGAAAACATTTTTTTTCCTTAATTACTTGGTTTATTACTCATCTTTTTATAGGAAATAATAGAATGGACATTGCCGATGACAAACTTAATTCTAGAGATTCTATCAGCGGTTTTTGACCAGCTAGGTCATGCATTAACTGGGATGGTGTTGGCATTTATAGCTCTGCTTCTTGCTGGCATTGAATTTTACACTGCTCGAAAGGAAGCAAGGAATGAGAAGACCCTATTGCTCAATTTTCATCGCGATACCTTACCATCTGGAAGAACTTTTGGCACTATTGCTGAGGTTTTTGGATTGTTTGGTGCAGTTTGGCAATGTTTTTACTCAACAGTAGAGTATGTATATGCTCGTCAAAAGAAAGATAATCCCATCAAAATATGTCTTCTGCCTTTTATCTTTGTAGTATGTGTGTTCGTCTATAAATTAACTAAAGAGAGGTAGAATACAAGGATGAGACAAATTATTGGCACATCTTCTGCGATATTTATTGAATTGTTGTTCTGTTTTCATTTAAGCTTCAGCGAAGGCGATTCAAGTGAGAAAATGGCTCAGGATTTGCTTTAGAAGCAGCTTTAGCAGCCACTTCTGGAACTCCAAAAACATTCTAAAATCTTAACGTTTCATCTCTTGCTGCTGTTGCCACTGTGCAATGATCCGTTTTGGATTCAAACTTCACCTATATATACAAAAAATAATCTCTTCAGATTTGTTTGTTGATATCAAATTATAATATAATAAAAAAATATAGATAGTTTTTTTGTTAACTTATAACTCCTTGATTATCAAGGTTCTGATATCATGTTAAAAAATCATCTCAATTTAATAGCTTAAATTATTATATAAGATTCTGATTTATATTATTCTCTACCATTTATAATTTTTATAATCTTTTTAATATACTCTCTAATATTATACATATAAAAAAGGATGAGACAAATTAAGTGTTAGGACATTCCGGCATTCAAACACACACAAATTTACGTAGTTCGGCAACTTGCCTACTCCACGGAGCTACTGGTTTGTATTAATCAAGCTCAAAAGCAATACAAACAACAAAACAAGGAGGAGGAGAAAACTTCTCAACTCAACTCAACTCTCACCCTTAGCTCTCTCTCTCTGTGTTTCTCTCTATTTCGTGGTCTATATCAGCTATCAATGCACCCTCTATTTATAGCTGATGAGGAAGACAATTGTTCAACAATGGTGGGCAAGTTAGACACCCACCATTTGACTATAACTATGTCAACCATGGTTGCCACCATCCATTTGTGTCCACACACATAACAATCTCCCACTTGGACACAAATGGTGTTAGGTTTGTCTTTTAATCTTCAAGACCAACTGAAGCTTTACACAGCTTCAGTTTATCGAGAGTAACTCCTTTGGTTAACATGTTGGCTGGATTCTTGCTTCCACAGATCTTTTCAAGTAACAGTTGTTCATCGTCGAGCAATTGTCGGATGAAGTGATATTTGATCTGTATGTGCTTTGTTCTGGAGTGAAATGCTGGATTCTTGGCAAGGAAGATTGCATTCTGACTATCACTATACAAAGTACCTTTTCCATGCATCTTGTCCAATTCTTGCAGGAAACTCTGTAGCCATACTATCTCTTTTGCAGACTCTGAAACTGCAACATATTCAGCTTCTGTTGTTGAAATAGCAACTATCTTTTGTAAGGTAGAACTCCAAGAAACAGCAGTGCCTCCTAGAGTGTATATATAACTTGTAGTACTCTTTCTGCTATCAACATCTCTTGCTAGATCAGCATCTACAAAGCCTTCAAGTTTCAAACCGCCAGCTGTGAAAGTAAGACATGTCTCCGATGAGCCTTTTAAGTACCTCATGATCCATTTCACTGCATCCCAATGCTGCTTTCCAGGATTGCTCATATATCAACTTACAACTCCCACTGCATGAGCAATATCTGGTCTAGTACAGACCGTGGCATACATCAAAGAGCCGATAGCTGAGGCGTATGGAATCTGGTCCATGTATCCACGTTCTAGCTCAGTTTTTGGTGACTAGTCTCTACTGAGCTTGAAATGATTCCCCAAAGGTGTACATACTGGCTTAGCATTATCCATACTAAACCTGCTAAGAACCTTCTTGACATACTCTACTTGTGAAAGCTTTAGTATGCCTTTGTCTTTGTCTCTGATGATTCTCATGCCAAGTATTTGTTTAGCAGCTCCCAGATCCTTCATTTCAAACTGTTTTGACAATTGTTGCTTTAGCTTGTCAATCTCTTCTATGCTGGATCCTGCAATTAACATATCATCCACATATAACAGTAAAATGATATAGGAGTTGTCAAAATGTTTGACATAGCAACAATGATCAGTCTGATATTTTGTGTATCCCGTACTACACATGAAGTTATCAAACTTCTTGTACCATTGTCTTGGAGCTTGCTTCAAACCATATAGACTCTTCTTTAGCTTGCAAACTTGACTCTCCTTTCCTGGTATTGCAAACCCCTCTGGTTGTTGCATGTAAATATCTTCCTCCAATTCACCATGAAGAAATGTTGTTTTTACATCTAATTGTTGAAGATGTAAATTTTCTGCAGCTACTATCCCCAGAACAGCTCTGATTGTTGTAAGCTTCACAACTGGAGAGAATATCTCAGAATAGTCGATCCCTTTCTTTTGCTGAAACCCTTTTACAACAAGTCTTGTCTTAAACCGTTTGCTTCCATCATGCTCAGTCTTTACTCTGTAAACCCACTTGTTTTGCAAAGCCTTCTTTCCTTCAGGCAGTTTGGTTAACTCCCAAGTCTTGTTCTTCAACAATGACTCCATCTCATCCTTCATGGCTAACTCCCACTTACTCGAGTTTCCATCTTGTAAGGATTCTTAATAAGTTAATGGTTCACCACCATCGGTCAGCAAGATATAATTCAGTAGAAGTGTGAACCGTTGTGGCGGCTTTATAGTCCTTGAAGACCTGTGAACAGCTGGTTCACTTGGCTCTGCATTGTCTTGTGTAGTAATGGTGGGTACTGATGTACCTGAACTTTTTTGTAAGGACTCTTGAGTGGTAACATCAGGAAGCCCTTCTAATCATATGAATTCAGATTTCTGTGGACTCATATCTGAATCAGTGATCTCTAGTTCTGTACTTGATTTGTCTTTGTACAAAACTTTCTCGTTGAAGATCACGTTCCTGCTTTTGATAATCTTCCTGTTCTGATCATCCCAAAACCGAAATCCAAATTCTTCATCTCCATAGCCAATAAAGAAACATTTCTTTGATTTGACATCCAGCTTGTTGCGAGCATCAGAGTCTACATGCACATAGGAAACACACCCAAAGACCTTTAGATGAGAAAGCTGTACTTCTTTTCCTCTCCAGACTTCCTCAGGCAGTCTGAACTCCAAAGGAACTGATGGTCCACGGTTGATCAAGTAAACTGCAGTATGAACGGCATCAGCCCAGAATGTTTGAGGTAACCCAGAATGCAACCTCATGCTTCTAGCTCGTTCATTGATGGTCCGGTTCATCCGTTCAGCAATGCCATTCTGTTGTGGTGTGCCTGGAACTGTCTTTTCCATTCTGATACCGTTGACAGCGCAATACTCCTTGAAACCTCCATCAATGTATTCTCCTCCATTATCAGATCGTAAGCATTTCAACTTCAAACCTGATTCAGTCTCAACCATAGCCTTCCATTTCTTGAATGTGTCAAACACATCAGATTTATTTTTCAGAAAGTAGACCCATACCTTCCTGCTTTTCAGAAAGTAGACCCATACCTTTCTGCTAAAGTCATCAATAAAAGTGACATAGTACCGAGAACCGCCAAGAGATGCTACTGACGCTGGTCCCCATAAATCTGTGTGCACCAGTTCTAGCTTTCTTGGTCTTAAGATCCTGCCAACCTTTAAGAAACTGAGTTTCTTCTGTTTTCCAAGAACAAAGCTTTCACAAATGTCTAGATCAACATTTTTTTAACTCTGGCAGCTTTCCCTTTGACTGAAGTATCTTCATCCCCTTTTGACTCATATGGCCAAGTCTACAATGCCATAGCTGTGCTTGATTTTCTGCTTCAGTAGAGGCAATTATATCTGCTGATCTTGTGGTTATATACAGGGTGCCAGTTTTCTTTCCACGAGCCAAAACCATTGCTCCCTTTGATACCTTCCACATTCCTCCAGAGAAAAGGATTGAATGGCCACTATCATCAAGTTGTCCGACCGAGATCAACTTCTTCTTTAGTTCAAGAACATGCCTTACATTTTGCAAGTTCCATATGATCCATTCATTATCTTGATTTGCACATCTCCTATACCCACAATATCCAATGGTTGTCCATCGACCAGATAGACTAACCCATAATTTCCAGCAGTATAATTTTGCATCATTTCATGGTGTGGAGTACAATGAAATGAAGCTCTAGAATCAAGAACCCAATCATCAATAGGACTATGCACAACAAGGATCAAAGCATCTTGTACCTCGTCTGTAGTGGCATTTGCAGAATTAGCTTCAGGTTTCTTTGGTTTTGTGCAACTCCTCATGAAATGACCAGGTTTGCCACAATTCCAACATTTAACCTGCTTCCTGGGTCCAAACTTGTTTTTGCTTCTGTACCTGGATTTTGATTTGCCTTTGCATAAGCCTCTGTCTTGTCTCCTTCCTCGAGTATTGATGTTAAGAGCTGAACCTAAACATGAGCTTTCACCCGAGTCTTTCCTTCGTATTTCTTCAGCTAAAATCAGATCTTGGATATCATCATATTTTAATTTGGATTTTCCAGCTGAGTTGCTTACGACTGTTCTCATACCTTCCCAACTGCTTGGAAGTGAAGCTAGCAAAATAAGTGCTCGGATCTCATCATCAAACTCAATTTTAACAGATGACAATTGATTTGTGATGGTGTTGAAATTATTAAGATGCTGTGTAATAGAGGTGCTTTCTGTCATCTTCTTCATCAAATGCACTTTGTTATTTGCTGATGGCTTCTCATACATCCCAGACAAGGCTTCCATCAATCTTGCTGTGGATTTCTTTTTTATAACATTATGAGCAACTCTTCTTGATAATGATAGCCAAATAATGCCCAAGACTTGTCTATCAAGAATTTGCCAATCTTCTTCTGACATGTTTTCTGGCTTGCTCCCCAACAGAGGAAGATGAAGTTTCTTCCCATATAGATAGTCTTCAATTTGCATTTTCCAATATCCAAAATCAGTTTCATCAAATTTTTCAATTCCTGCAGCCTTTATTTCATCAACCATTTTTACTCTTTCTCGGATTCGAATCTCAAAAATCTGACCTTACAGATGTGTCTGGAATGGCCAAAAATGCTGGAAACGACACTGAGATCACCCAAATCGAACTTCAGATGGCTCCGATTTAAACAATCAAAATTTAGGATAACTGGACGCTGCAGATGAAGCCACGTGGCAGGAGGAATAGTCGCTGCGCCACACCGGATCAAAACCCAGTTATGCTGACATGGCGTAGCTGACGTGTCAGACACGTAGGCAAAGTGGGGTCCACCAATCTGACGTGGCAGGTCCATGGAGATTTTCAGGTGACGTGGCAGGTTGACTGGTCAAATTGCTAATGTGGCAGGTGACACGGCTGCTGACTGTGTCGAA